GAGGAGCAGCAGGAGGAGCAGGAGGAAAAGGATAAGCGGAACGTACAGGCGGTAGACGCTACAGACAAGCAAATGGAACGTGTCGCACGCGGAACAGAAGAAAGCTTGATTCCAGTTCCTTACCAGATTCGTGGACCCCTGTCAAGTTTTCAGAGGAGAAGGTAAACAAGGACAAGGTAGGATGAGGAGGAGGAGGAGGAGGAGGAGGAGGAGGAGGAGGAGGAGGAGGAGGAGGAGGAGAGGAGAAGGAGGGAAGGCACGGTGAGGAGGAAGGAGTCGGAGGAACAGTAGGATGGCGAACAAGAGGAGGATGAGGACAGCGGGGGGCGAGAGGCGGAGGGAGGAGGAGGAGGAGGAGGAGGAGGATGAAGAGGCAGGAGGAGGAAGGTATGGAGGAGGATGAGGAGGAGGGGAGGAGGAGGAGGAGGAGGAGGAGGAGGAGGAGGAGGGGGAGGAGGAAGGAAGGAGGAGGAGGAGAAGGAGGAGCAGGGAGCAGGAGGATGGAGAGGGGCAGGGAGGAGGAGGAGCAGTGGAGAGGAGGAGGTAGGAGCAGGAGGAGGAGGAGGAGGAGGAGGAGGAGGGAGGGGAGGGGGGAGGGGGAGGGGAGGTGGAGGGGGGGGGGAGGGGGAGGAGGAGGAGAGGGTGGAAACGAATGAGGCGGATGAGAGCGAGCAGGCGCAAGATAGAAGTTGACAGATCACGTTCCCGCTGTTACCACCGCCGCGAGGGCAGCTCCCGCGCCCGTCCCCGCGCAACGGCAGCTACGTCGCGTCGGCGCCGTCACCAGCGGCGACGTGCGCTCTTCGCCCCGCCCTCCGCGCGCGCGCGAGTTCCGCCGCGGCGAAGTCGTGGAGGGTCTGTCGGGAAGCGTCGAAGGACTTAGGTTGTGGTAGTGGAACGATCTCCGTGTAGAAGACTCGTTATCACATTCAAGGAGGCGAGGGTTTGAGACCGCATTCGAAGGGAGAGCCCCCCACCAGGACATCGGCTTCGGTTTCGTATCCGTGTCGCTTTATTGAGCCCTCTTGGAGTCCTCTTGGGGCTATCCCTGCGCCTTCTTGGGGCTCTGTTGAGGGGGCTTGGGGTCCTCGTGAATCTCTTTCGGGGGGTCTCGGGGCCCTCTTGGGGCCCTCTTGGGGTTCTCTTGGCGTTCTCTTGGGGGCCTCTTGGGAGTCCTGGAGGGCCTCTTGGGGCTATCGTGGAGCGCGTCGGTGAAAAGAGAGGCTTCCTGACGTTTCTTGGGGCGATCGTGGGCCGTATGGAGGGCCTCGGGCCCATCTTGGGGATCTGTTGGGCCATATTGGGGTTTTCTTTAGGCCTCATATTCGCATCGAAAGCGAAACGGCGAGAACGCACCACTCATTGATTTGTATTCGGTGATTGAATGATGTTGGCTTCTTTGGGGTGGGGTCCGGAGGGGGCTCCGAGAGCACTTGGAACCGTCTTGTTGCCCTCCTGAGGCCTTTTGGAATGTTGGAAGCGATCTTGAGCCATCGTCGGTTATCTCGGGCCATCTTGGAGACCATCTTGGAGCAACGGGAGCCCTCTTGGAGCCATCTTGGGCGACACAGGACCCTTTAGCACCTCGCGGCCACCCCCTGTCCAGATCTAGGGGGAGGGAGCAGGGGGAGGGGTAAACCCCTCCCCAAAAGGGGAAAAGAGGAGTGGAAGAGAAACCACCCCAAACCAACTACGCCCAGAAGGCTGGTGGGATTGATTGTCAGAGTAGCGGGTGCGTGAGTGTTCCTCGGGCAGCGGATAGATTTTGGAGATGTCGTAGACAATTTGTGGTGATGCTTTTATTATTGTATTATGTATTCATAGGCTTGCCTTCATTCCTATGCTTCCCTTCATTCATGGACGCTTGCTCTTGCTCATGCTGTCATCCTCTTCATCAAGCCTCGACTGAGCCTTCGACCTGATTATTGCATGATGGTTGAACATGCGCCTCTGTTTCGGAAGCTGGATGCGTAATTTTGGCAGCTACTTAGATCGAGCGCGTTGTATGTCAATTCCCTGATATGGAGACATAAGCAGAATGGCATAACTCAACAACCAGGAGAGCAATCTATAACAGCATTGGCAGTAACAGCCTCGTAAATACTTGCGCTGCGCGCGAGGCAGCGAGAGAGAAAGAGAGAGAGAGAGAGAGAGAACGAAAGAAATAAAGAAAACACATGACACAACGAGAGAGATAGCGATAGGAGAGGCATGGCACCCCGAAGGCGTGCAGCAAGCGCGTCGGGATCCTGCACCGTGAGCGTCCCCTCGTCGCCCGGTGCCTAGACTGGCATGCCGGAGGGAGGGGTGGGGCCATTGTAGCATCCCATTCTTTTGCATCGCGTTCTCCTGAGTTGCTGCAGCTCTCGGTACACTCGTTGGTAGTGCTGCTACTGCTTCTGTTGCTCCCTCGGCTCCCATTGTCGCTATCGTCGATGGGTTTGCGGATGCACCTGCCCCTGACAATGATGCGGCTTATGTTGTTGGCAATATTGGTCTTGCCGGATCGTCCAGTTCGTCGCGTGGTCCTACGGTGATGCAGCAGGCGGTGGGATTAGAGTGGGTTCGAGCGGGCTAGCCATTTGAAGTGCATGATGGAACATACCCAGGATGTCGTTGGCCTTGAACCCCCCCAGGTGCGCCCCTTTCGCCTGGAGGGACTGCCACTCAGAGGCCGCGAGGAGGGGGTGCGCTCGCCCTCGAGACCTTCGCGGCAGTGCACGGCCTCCTCCCCCAGAGGCTCGAAGGACCCAATCCAGCACGGAGCAGCAGCAGCCAGAGCGTGAGGGATGAGAGGGGGAACATCGACGTGCACGGGAGGGTTAGCGAATCAGCTGGATGCGGCGGCTTCTCCCGGGGCCTCTCCAGGGCGGCGGCGCAAGAGCGCCAAGAGAGTCCCGCGCCGCGCCTCGCCACGAGCGGGGGGGCAAGGGTCAAGGGACGGATGCGGGGGGGGTGGTTGGGCCTTCGGCCAGTGAGGCTCACGAAGCTGGCTGGACCACTAATCCCCCCTCTACTTCTCTTCCTCCCTCGAGTGCGGCTGGGTCGGGGCTCCTCCAGAGGAGTGACGCCTGCATCCGTGCAGTGTCCCACACCTTGCCCCTTTTCCCGTGCATGACTTGGAGGCGGATAGACCTCCTACCCTGACACGTTGAATAAGGAATTGGCCGTTTTCGGTTCGCGAGAGGGCGTCGCGGCCGTCATTTTTGCCGGTCCAGGTCCGTCGGTTTCGGTCCCAGGCCGTTTTCATTAAGGGGAGGTTTACTACAGGGAGCTTTTTGTCCACCGCCGAATGACTGCTTCCGCAGACGGGCACGCTCCAAGCCGCTGCGGAACAGAACGGAACGGCACGCTCGGGGGGAGAGCACCGACCCCGTTCGCCCAATCATCGTCGGCAGCGGCCCGACAGCCCACCCCGCCCAGGAGCGAGCGGCGTGGCGATCGGGGGGGCCCACACAGCCCAGGAAGGGGCGGCGTGGCGATCTGTCGGCGATGTACCGCCGATTCCAGGTCGATGTGTCCCTCCTCCTCTTTCCTCCTCCTCCTCCTGCTCCTCTCCTCCTTCTCCTCCTCCTCCTCCTCCTCCTCCTCCTCCTCCCAGCCTCCTCCCCCCTCCGAGCCGGCCCTTCCCCCCGACTGTGGCCCCTCGTTGCTCCTCTGGGTGGAGGCCCGGAGGGCGGCCCACAAGTCCAGAGAGCGGCGTTCCCGGCGCGCGCGCCTTGGGGCAATCCCGCGCCGCGCCTCACCGGGGGCGGGGCGAGCTGCGGCGGCGAGAGCCGAGGCCTATCCTCGCCGATCAATGGTTAGGGCACTCAACGATGTTTTCCTGGACTCAGCGCGTGTACAGTAGACGCGCGCTGCTAGCACGACCCCTTACGGGGCCTCTGAGGCGAAAGACGGCTGCGGAGTTTGGGAGGCCCTGCTGCAGACCCGTCTCTCTCCCGCTTGTGTTGCAATGCGCATGCAACTGCGAACGCAACTGATTCAGACTGATCTTCGCATGATGCTCGAAACAACGATGGGCGGAGCGGGTAGGGTGCGGAAATCGCCGAGCACGCAGCGAAGTCCGAACCCTACCCCCGCCTCCCATCATTCAGGATAATCGATGGTTGGTGGGGGTAGGGCTCGGATGTCGCCACCGGGGGGGGCAGGGTTGGGATCTCCAGGTCTTTTCAGTGCGGGATCCTCGGATACCCCGGCACGTTCCTCAGGGCGGGCTTTCAATCCCGAGTCTGTCTTGGTCGACTGCCCTGGGGTCCGACGTGGGCCCCCATGAGGCCCACAATGACAAGAAACCTTCGCGAGTTTTTTTGTTTATGCCGCTGCTTCTTCCCCTGGTGAGGGAGGCTCAGCCACGCGCAGGAGGGGGGCAGGGGGAGCGGAAAGGCTTGACTAGAGGCACCCTTGCTTCCCAGAAGAGGCTCAGCCACGCGCAGGAGGGGGGCAGGGGGAGCGGAAAGGCTTGACTAGAGGCACCCTTGCTTCCCAGAAGAGGCGGGCCCTGTCTGTAGTTGTAGGGGCTGGTGCCTTCTCCCAAGAAGCCTTCCCTCCTCCCCCCCTCCTTCCCCTCCTCCCCCTCCTAATCGTTACCCCCTCCTCCTCATCTACCTCCTCCTCCTCCTCCTCCTACCTCCTCCTCCTCCACTCCTTCCTCCCCCTCATCCTCTCCTCCTCTCCCTCATCCTCTCCCTCCTCCCCTCCTATCCTCTCCTCCTCCCCCACCCCCCCCCTCCTACTACTCCTCATCCTCATCATCCTCCTCCTCCTCCTCCCCCGCCCCTCCTTCCTCCTCTCCTCCTCATCCTCCTCCTCCTCCTCCTCCTCCTCCTCCTCCCTACTCATCCTCCCTCCTCATCCTCCTCTATCCTCCACCTCCTCCCTCCTCCCCCTCCTCCCCCTCCTCCTCCTCAGCTGTGAGGGGAGGAGGGAGGCCGCTGTGAGCGGCCGAGCGCCGGGGGGACGGGCGGCGCCCCCATCGGCGCGCGCGCGCGCCTCCCGAGGCCGGCGCTGCGCGTGCGCGACGTGCAGGCGGAGGCGCCCAAGCGCGAGGCGACGCGCCTGGATGGGGGGGCCCTCGGTCCCCCCCCTCTTCCGATGATCTTACTCTCCTCCTCCTCCTCCTCCCCTCCTTCTCACCTCCTCCCCCTTCCCCATCCTCCTCCTCCTTCTACTCCTCCGCCCTTCCTCTCCTCTCCTCTCCTCCCTCATCCTTCCTCCTCCTCCTCACTCCTCCTGCTCCTCCTCACTCCTCCTGCTCATCCTCATCCTCATCCTCATCCTCATCCTCATTCCTCCTGCTCCTCCTGCTCTTCCTCCACCTCCTCCTGCTCCTCCTCCTACTGCTCCTCCTCCTCCTCCTCTCACTTCCATGCTGCCCTGATGCGGACCAGGATGGCGATCCTCCGTGCGGTGTATCAAGCGCACCTGTCCCAAGCAGGCCAGCAAGCCGTCCTGCCCTGTGGCCCCCGGTGAGCTGCCCCAGGCCCCCTACACGGCTTAGTGGCCCAGCGTCTGACGCTATTTTGGAAGATGCCAGCCCATCCTCTGATCAGGTGGTGAGACTCGCATCATGGTTTATCATTTGTACGGTCTGAGGCGATCGTGGCTGTCTCGGGGTATGTTGACCACGCATAGCATCCACCGACACCAGGTGCCAACAGCAGTCCTTGCACAGGCTCAGGGACCAGACGGCATGTCGTTCAACCTTCACAAGCACCTCCACAAGCTTATGCCTACCCTCAAGGGCATTGGCACTACATTTCAATCCTCCTCCCCCCCCTCCCCCTCGCGCCATGGAGGAAGCCAGTTCTTAGGGAAAGGGGTCCCGAGCTTTTTCGCAGTGGTCGGGTTCTCCTGGCCCTCAAAGGGCCCCAGGACAGTTTGCAAAACGACGCAGGAGAACAATCTCATCCTGGGGGAAGCCGCCAAGGTCCAGGGTCCGTTTCCCTCAGCACCCGTTTCCCCCATCTTCGTTCTCTTCTTCGATAACATTCTTGGTCGCCAGCTTGAACGCGAGATTGGATGGCATCAGTCAGGAATTGCAAGGTTGGGACGTAGGTGTACTGACAGGCACACATGAATGGGCTGGACCAGAACCATCACAGACGATGCACTCGAGTCCCTCGTTGGGAATCCACTGTGGAGGAAAGCGGGTGAACGTATATTCAAACCATGTGGGGTATCCTTTTCTTGCGTCGACATTAAAACGCTCAGGCATGTGTATATACCGCCAAGAACAACGCAGGGACAGGCTGCAGGAATACGACTGTCGAACAAGTTCTTGGACTTGGCCCCTTTCTTTTCTTGGACTTGGCCCCTGTTGCTTCTTACGTCCCAATTTTCTCGGCCGCACACACGGACACATATCCCAGATACCCCGAGAATGGGTGGACAGGTGTTGCGAATGGGTAGCATGCAGATCGGTGGTTATAGGCTGATGCGGCACCAACAGCCATGCCTGTCTTCACGGAGAAGGAGCAAGACGATTTGGGAAAAGTGCATCACATACGGCTGGAGTTAGGGCGAAGCTTGTCGAACAGAACGAGCTTGCGATTGCGACGACACATTAATCATGGAACAGCCACAGGCTTCGAGCATGCCGCAATCACGGCGGCCACACCACACTCTGTCAGGGCACGCGTCGGCCTCAAGGACGAGGCAGCACGTGATCAAACAACGGGGACATTTGGACCACGATCCAATAGGGATAGTATTGGAGGTGGGACCGACTCAGAGATTCCCCCACCCAGGAGAACCAGGAAACAGGAGGGAGGGGTAGATAGAGAAGCGCTTATGAAGTTCATCGAGAGCGGCAAGATGCGCGGAGACTTCTTCCACATAGTCGAGGAGAAGATTTTGGAAATGGGGCCAGAGGATTGGGGGCATTTGTTGTCAGAAGCCACCCCAGACACTGATCGGAGGAAATGGAGTGGTGCAGCGAGAACGACAACGCGGGATACCGCCCCGACAAGGAAGATTCGCAGTGACCCAGCCGTTTCTTTTCTGAGGGAGAGGCGCCTCGAACTGCTAGGGCAGAGAGAGATTATATATATATATAGAGAGAGAGAGAGAGAGAGAGAGAGAGAGAGAGAGAGCGCGGCGGAGGCTTTGTCACGGCGGGGGCATGGTAGCATCTGCGAAGACTTGGCAGAACGTCGGCAGCCATCGGGCAATCAAAGACGAGGCGGGCATGACGAGCAGGGCGAAGCGTGTGGAATTTAAATCGCAAGCTAACGCAGCCAAGAAACATGGCGAGATGCATCGGTCCAGGCTTCCATGCCGAGGAACGGGCAAAGGACTGGGGATTTTCCGTGGACCTGGTGGGAATGCGACGAATGGCAGGCGGAGCCACCAAAACGCTTGCGCGATAGGGGGGGGGGGGGGGCTAGCAGCAGAAGGCATTCGTCTGGATCAGCATGTTGAGGATCATAGAGGCTCAGCTGAAGGCGAGGTTCAGCTGCCAGATGACTCGGGCATCAGAGCAGCAATTGCCAGGGTGCTGCTTCGGAAATCTGCGAAGAGGTGAGCCCGCCCACAGTGGGGGGCGCCGGCGGTGCACCTGCCAGGCCCCAGAGCAGCAGAGAAGACTGAGGACGAAGATGAGATATCCAGTTAGGTTTTGAAGTTCGGATATCGGAGGGGTAGCGCCCCGCAGCAGTAAATGAGGAAGGTGGGCGGAACAATTCGGCAAACGAGAGAGGGCCATCGACGGGAAAGCATTGGCGACCAACGGTGTATCGCCGCGCGAAGTGGGGCTGCATGCAGGTGCAGAGATGGGGGCAGAGCAGGTGGCGAATTCGGGGGGGTCATTTCTGAATTCCCGAAGCAGACTTGACGACGTCCTCAATGCGCGCAGGAAGGCCGAATTTTTTGTTCGTTCGCAACAGATAAGCGCAATGGGAAAGCGAGAATAAAAGGAACCGAGAGCCATGCGTGCACAACGTTCGATGGGAGTGACCCGGCAGAAAGGGGCAGTCGCTAGAGGAAAAGCGCCAAGGCACCCATTCTGGGCGCATGGATGGTTGAACGACGCGCGCAGGGACAATGACCCGGCGCGCACTGCAGCGACGCAGTGGGGAACGAAGGAAGCAGAAGCAAGTGGGATGCGCTGCCATTAAAACTGCGCAAATTCGTATGCCATTACGTAGAGACCAGCTCTAGCCGCCCCAGCGCGGGCGACATCTGTGGCGAGCCACATCTGCCAAGAGAGACGCGCCATTCAATTTGCAATGCCGGCCATTCTTTTCGCGGCTGCGATCGTGGGGCGCGCCGACGGTTGGACGCGCGCTTTTGCGACCCAGGTGGCGCGCGTGTGCCTGCATTCTGTCCGAGACAGTTCGATGGCGCACACAATCGTCACGTCGAGAAATGAAGGAAAGAGATGGGAAACATCGACGTGGACCGCACTTTGCACGATGGAACACGCCCGACCACGGGGGGAACGCGACCTGGCCACGAATGCATCCATGGACGACGCTGCCCGAAAGAGTTCGATTAGGTTGAAATTCGGCAGGACATCGCAAACCCGCTCAACGACGCGACCGAGCGATTCGAAAACACAGTCGAGAAGAAAAGTTGAACATTCAACACCGGGAAGGGCAAACCACCCACTTTGCCTCAATAGGTCTGGAAGCGCAAAGACTAGCAGACAGCTGCGACGGATGAGGGCCGGCAGGGCCCAATATGCCCGAGAGATGCAGCTGCTCGGGCCCCGCGCGCCGAGGGGCCCGGGCATGATTGGGGGCGGGGCGCGTGCAATCTATGAGTCGATGGAAATTGCTCGGAGACAGCGCGGGGGTTTCTGGGGATCTCGGGCTCAGGAGCGAAAGAAGGACGTACATGTACATGAATCCACGCTGGTTTCGAGAGTACGCGTTGCGCAAATGTTCGTGTAACGCGGCTGGTCTCGCGGATCGAGGGGCCGTGTTCATGTACATAGCTGGGCGCGTACGTCCTTTGTGGGCTCCCTACGGGCGGCAGGAGAGGTGAGCCGTTCGCCTGGCGAACGAAGAAGCGTCGCTGTGAGCGTCGCCGTTGGTGCGTCTCCTTGCCGGGCCGCGGAGTGCGCGAAAAGGCGTGCTGGCATGCGGCGGGGCCATCGCGCGGGCGCCGCCGCTGGGGCTTTCAGGCGTCGCGAGGAAAATGACCTGCAGGGGGGGGGGGGCAGCAGCGGGGGCAACCGGGGCCTTCGGTGGAGCTCCTTATGGGGCAGCGAAGCGCGCGAGAGATGTGCCGAAATAGCATGTGGGGCCACGTGCCGGCGCTGCCACTGACGCCTTCGGCGGAACCTCTAGTGCGAGGGGGTCGCCGACATAGAAGGCAGTGGAGCCCCCCACATGGCGTCATGCAGCGCGTGATGGAGCGCTCCGACACGGGGGTGGAACCGCGCGCGGGCGCTGCCAGTAGGGGCCTTCGGTGGAAACCGCCATGGGGCCACGTAGCGTGCGAGGGTGCACCGACGAAATGGAGCGTGGAATTGCACGCGGGCGCTGCCACTGGCGCCTTCGGTGCAGCTCCCTATGACATATGGGGCCACGAACCGCGTAAGCGGTGCGCCGAAATGGCGGGCGGAACCGCATGGGCCCCCCATGGGGCCACGAAGCGTGTTCATGGCGCACCGAAAAGGAGGGTGTAATCGCATGCGGGCACTGCCACTCGGGCCTTCAGTGGAGCTCCCTTTGAGACCGCGAGTCGCGCGAGGGTGCATCAACGATACAGGGGATGCAATTGCATGCAGGCGCTGCCAATGGGACCTTCGGTGGAGGTCCTTGTGGGGCCGCGCAACGTGTGGGGGTCGCACCGAAGCAGGGGTGGAGCCGTATGCGGGCGCTGCCAGTGGGGCCTTCGGTGGAGCTCCCTATGGGACCACGAAGCGTGTTCATGGCGCACCGAAATGGAAGATGGAACCGCATGCGGGCGCTACCAGTGGTGCCTTCTGTGAGGCCCCCTGTGCTGCCACGAAGCGCGTAAAAGGGGCGCACCGAAAGTGATGTAATGACGGAACTGCATGCTGGAGTTGCCACTGGGGCCCTCGATGGAGCTCCATATAT